TGGAGGTCTTTAAACAGAGGCTGGATGGCTATCTGTTGGGGATGCTTTTATTGTGAGTTCCTGCATGGAAGGGGTTGGACTGGGTGGCCCTTGTGGTCTCCTACTCTATGATTCCATGATTCTGAGAGTTAGTATGAAGCTCCATTTCCAAGGACTGGAACTGTAACAATGAAGTCTCTGCTGCTGGAGTCCATGCAGCAGCCTAGTCTCTGTCTATGCCAGAGAGGGTGTCATCCAAAGTATTTATGTGCCATGGAGACTCATATGGGAGGAGATGTTCCTCATAAAGCAAAACACATGATCTCATGTGAATTTCCCTGCTCCATAAAAGGCCAGCTCATGAAGCAGTGTGGGGGAAAGCTCAACACGATGAAGTCACGTTGCCTTATAAATCTTACAAAATAGAGAAGAAGGGGTGAAAATGAAGGGGTGGTGAATTGGGTGGTGTCCCATGTTGTTATTGTAACAAGGGTGGGGATTATGGAAATTCTCCAGATGTTTTTGGACTGCAACTTCCAACGTTCCTCACCATTGGCTATGTTGGCCAAGGCTGCTGGGAGTTACAGCTCAACAGCGTCACAATCTCCACTTTGGGTACAATACGTAGCTCCTCCAGTAGTTTCAGAGTCCCTTTGAGCTGAACTTGGAAAGCTTACTTTTTGGGACTGTGACTCCTTTTGAGTTGTGGTCTTAAAATGGAACTTTTCCAGGCTCTTCTTTTAGCAGTGGTCATGGCACAAAGAAAACACACTAAACCAATAATGGACAGCATCCCATCCCAGGCCTGTGCTGCATGATATTTGCCTTCTTTACTTACTTCTTCTTTTCTTACTCAGCCTTTCTCCCAGCAAGGGACCCAAAGCAGCTTATAAAATTTCTAAAACTAAATAATAAAAAAGTTAAAACACAGCTAAATGAATTATCCTATTAAAATGCCATTAATTTTTAACATCTTTTTATTAGTATTATTTTAAAAACGACATTGATATACAACAACCAAATCACATTTGTACAACTTGCATCTTCACTACACATACTTGCCCAGAAATTTCTGTACCTTGTCCTATTCAACAGAACAGGCTGTGGCATTCACCTGTGTACCATTAAAATGCTGAAGAGATGGGGTGAGTGGGGTTCATTTTACCAAATTTTCACTTTAAGCAAATGAAACTATGGATATATAAATACATTTAGGTGGTGCATATGATATTGTGATTTAAAAGTACAGTGGGCCCTTGGTATCTGCTGGGATTTGATTGCAGGACCCTCCTGTGGTTAACAAAATCTGTGGATGCCCACGTCCCATTAAATGCAATGGCATAGTAAAATGGTGTCCCTTATATCAAATGGCAAAATCAAGCTTTGCTTTTTGGAAATTATATATTTTTTGAATATTTTGAAACTGTGGATGCTTTAATCCATGGATAAAAACATCTATGGATACGGAGAGCTGACTGTTTAACTTTATTTCTGCTAGTTGTTTATAACTATTACCATTATATTCACTGATGTATGTGAATTATGTGCAAGTAAATACTGTGTAAATTATGTACAAGTAAATATTTAGGCTGTGCATATGATATTGTAATTTAAAGGTATAATTTTAGTTGTGCTACTTGTTTATGTCACAGCTATTACCATTACATTCAATGATGTATGGGAATTATGATTTATGAGTAACATTAGTACGAAAAAACAAGGGGAAACTAATGACTTTCTAAGAATTCATGGGCTCTCCAAGTCAGCTTCACATTTAAGTATTTCTGCTGGACACTTCCTATTGTAAGCTGCTTGGATTGTGTGGCAATAAGCGGGATACAAATAAATTTTATTATTATTATTTATTATTCCTACAGAAAGATTGGTTCCATATATATTGTTCACTGTTGGTCTCAACAAATGTATTGGTCATTTATGCTCTCTGTTGTGATATATTAGAGCTTTGTCAATTTGTTTATGTACAATTATACCTTTTTACATCTTTTAATATTGCATACCTGTTTTGGTTTGTGATAAGGGCCGAGAGAAAGCCCTCCTCCAAGGATTTTGTGTTGTAGTGGTTTGAGCATTGGACTCAGGGTTTGATTCCCCGCTTGGCCCTGAAACCCACTGGGTGACCTTGGGCAAGTCACACTCTCTCAGCCTCAGGGAAAGGCAATGGCAAACCTGCTCTGAACAAATTTTGCCAAGAAAACTCCATGATGGGGTTGCCATAAGTCGGAAATTACTTGAAGGCACACAACCACAACAACAACAACAACAACAACAACATTTATAAGGGAAAATACCAGCTTTCAGCTAGTATGGACCTAAGCTGTAGAGGGCTTTATATAGCTTCATATTTGCATGTGTAAGTTGACTCCTGTTTGAAATAGTTTGCACTCAAATCAGGCTCATTTGAGTTCATTAGATCGAATCACACTTTGCCTTTCAGTATAGAGGTGTGAGGGATTAGGTGTATTCTTTTCTTTCTAAATATAAAGATTAGCATTAGCGAACAGGCTAAATAGCATGCTATGGGGTCTGTTCTGTTTACAGTAATTACACGGGTGTATAATTGTCCAGAAATGTGGGTTGTTGTTTTTTAACTTGCTGTGTTCCCATTCAGCTACGCAACTGTACAGGTTTGGCCAGTGAGACAGCTGCAGGGTTTCTATTCTTTTGGCTGGGAGCTTTTGGAGATGAATAGAGGGAGGGGATCAGAAGGCTGGGATGGATGGTTGGTTTGTTCTGCCAAGAACCACAGGGAGACTACACATTCCTTGCATCTCCTTTCATCTTCATTCTTTTTTATTGCTTGCTCGCTTAGCTCCAAAACACACTGCAGAAATCATCCAGTTTGAGACCCCCTTTCACTGCCCTGGCTCAGTGCTAGGGAATTCTTGAGAGCTGTAGTTTTGTGTAATATAACCTTCCCAGCCAGAGAGCTCTGATGCCACAATAAACTACAATTCCTAGGATTCCCTAGCACTGAGCCAGGGCAGTGAAAGCGGTCTCAAACTGGATTATTTTTGCAGTGTGTTTTGGACCTATATCCCACAGCCTCTACCCTCTAAGCCAGTCTGCTGTTCCCTTGTATAGTGGAGGACTCCATCGTAATTCCAGTGTTGAAATCAGGTTTAGCTCCCTGTCCAGTCAAATTCTGGACAAGGGATGTCGGTGAGGGTGCCTTAGGCAATCTTGGCTTGAATCTGTGCAAAAAACAGGGAGTTCTTCAGCTGCCAAGTGAAAGAAATAAGATTTCCCCAGAAGGCAGAAAATTAGGTTGCATCTGCAGAAATAATCTGGCACCACTTTAACTGCCTTGGCTCATTGCTTTAGCTAGTGCAAAAAACTGCAGTCAGAATGTCAACTGAGCTTGAAGCCACCTTGGGTCCTGTCCTGGGAGAAAGGCGGCATAGAAATAAAATAAAATAACTGGGGCAGGTTACAGGGACCATACAGCTCCCCTACTAAAACAGCTCCACCGGCTGCCGGTTTGATTCCATGCCAGGGTGACCCAACTGCAACGGAAGGACAAGGCACTGCAATGTGTACGACCTTCAAGAAAAGTGTAGGACATTACAAAATAAAAGCTGAAAACACTGGTATAAATGTAATTTATTTGCTTCTTAGTCATGCTCAAAATGGGGGACATTTTGACATGCCTCCTGGACAGTAAGTAGGTCATGTCCTAGAAAATGTAGGTCATGTCCTAGAAAAGGAAGTTTTCTGGTCACCCTCTTCTAGACACAAGTCAAAGAGCTGGTTATGTCCTGGTTCAGGTTGATGCTATCTGGTAGACTGTATCTCCCTGTATGAACTGGCCCTGGCCCTGAGATCCTCAGGAGAGGCCCTTCTCCCAGTCCCACCACCATGACAAGCATGGTTGGTGGGGACATGAGAGAGGACCTTCTTGGTGGCTGCTCCTAGACTCTAGAACTCTCTTCCCGGAGAAGCCAGAATGACCCCTTCCTTGTCCTTCCATCGTCAGACTAAAACTTTTTTTTAATTCCAAAATGCTTTTAAAACAGAAAAGCTTTTAAAGACAGGCTTGTTTTAAACTGATCTGTTTTTAATTGCTTTTTTATCTTTTTAATTGCTTTTTATCTTTTAAAGTGTAGGCTTAATTGTTTTAATATTGTGAATCATTTAATTCCATTTTAATGTATGGTTTCAGCTCTTTTCTCTTAAGTGGGAAACTGCCTTCAGTCCCATTTTTTGGGAGAAATGTGGGATGGTGATGATGATGACAGGTTCACCATGGAGTGGAAAAATCCAACCACAATAGGCTTTCCAGTTCACATAATGGTCAATCGAGGAAATAGGGACAGACAACCTTTGGCCACTGTTGATTCTGTTGCTTATTGTAGATGGTTACAGAAGGACAAACAAATGGATCCTAGAACAGATCAAGCTGGAAATTTCCCCGGAAGCCAAGATGATTAGGCTGAGGCTGTTGTACTTTGGCTACATTATGAGAATGGAAGACTCATTAGAAAAGACAATAATGCTAGGAAAGGTGGATGGATGTAGAAAGAGAGGGACCGCATGCTAGATGGATGGACTCCATTAAGGAGGTCATAAGTATGAATTTGCAAGACCTAAGCAGAACAGTGGAGGACAGGGAATCTTGGAGATGTCACCATGAGTTGAGATTGACTCAAGAGCAAATACACAGTTACAGAAAAATCAGCTCAAATTCTTGCTCTATCCCAGTTCAGGTGTTATTGCACCATTTACTGTAGACACACTACCACAACCTGACACATAAAGTCTTTGTTTCTCTTCTTCTTCAACATCTTATTACTGCTGCTACTGCTTAAAAACATCCAATTAGACAGAAAACAAGTGGGAAAACTGGGTTTTAGGTGCATGCAAAATGACACTCTACAAAGGCCTTTCTTCATCAGACGCTTTGTTTATTGAGGTATGCCTGTATACATAACAGAACGTATTTCTATGTACAGTATAGGATTGGGAGTTAGTGTGGCATAGTGGTTTGAGTGTTGGACTGTGACTTTGGAGACCAAGGTTCAATTCCAAGTTTGGCCATGGAACCCACTGGTTGACCTTGGGCAAGTCACATTCTCTCAGCTTCAGGGGAAGGCAATGGCAGACCTCCTCTGAACAAATCTTGCCAAGAAAACCCCATGATAGGTTCACCTTCTGGTTGCCATAAGACTTGAAGCCACACAACAACAAGAAGTATAAGACTGTGCTGCTGGTATACATCAGAATACAATCATCCCTCCGTATCCATCCCCAGGTTCTTTATTAATGGATTCAACCAACCATTGCTTGAAAATATTTAAAATAAAATATACATTCCAGAAAGCAAACCTTGACTTTGCCATTTTATATAAGTTACCCCATTTTACTACAACATTGGATTTAATGGGACTTGAGCATTCACAGATTTTGGTATCCATGGAGGTCCTGGAACCAAACCCCAGTGGATACCAAGGGCCCACTGTACAGTACAGTCGATCTTTCCAGAACAAGTAAGAAAAGCAGAATCATCCCTTCTAAACCTCAACAAAGCAGATCAAATAAAATTGCTACTGATATATGAGGTGCCAGTCAAATCTGATCCTGGGGCAATTTAATGAAATGAGGGAGATTTCACAATCAAATGACTGATTGTTCTGGAAGAGGAATCTAATATCACCAATAATGTTTTGAGAAAGAATGTGTTTTTGGATCCCATTGATGTGTAAGTTACAGAAGAAGATTTTTTATTTTAATGAAGAATGAATTAACAGGAGTAAAAGAAAGGCACATTAGCTAATTCTTTATTACTTTTTTTTAAAAAAACAATGTACATGATAATTACTTTCCTTTAAAAAGATCCATGCACACTTGTGATCCCAGCCATCATAGGCAAAATACATTTAAAATGGGATGCATTTTGTTGATTCCCAAAGAAGTAAAGGACATTAAGGAGATGGCAAATTACAAACCTATTTCTCTATTAAATACTGACTACAAGTTATTAGCAACAATTTTGGCTGAAAGACTTAAATGCATCCTGAGAGATTATATTAATAATGATCAAGCTGGATTTTGCCCACTCGTCAAATGGATAATATTAGATTAATTCTCAATATTTTGGAATATTATGAGAGGAATAACGATAACAAATTATCCTTCATATTCACAGATGCAGAAAAGGCACCTGATAATGTCAACTGGGATTGTATGTTCGAAATACTGTAGAGGATGGGGGTTGGAGAAAATTTTGTTAACTGGATTAAAAGAATATATGAAAATCAAAATGCACAATTAGTTATAAATGGGGGGAAATCTGAAAAATTTGAAAGGAACCCGACAAGGTTGTCTCTGCTCTCAGGTGCTTTTTATAATTGTACTAGAAGTGTTGGCTAATAATATTAGAAAAGGCAACGAAATCAGCGGCACTAAGATCAAAGGACTTGAATATAAATTAAAGGCTTTTGCCGATGATCTTGTGATCATTTTAGAAGACCCTAATCACCAAATGGGAAAATTATTTAGCAACATTGAGAATTTTGGTAAAATATCTGGTTTACAAATTAATAGGAGCAAGACATCATTAACAACTAAAAACCTAACAAAAAAGAGGAACAATACGTGAAACTTGCATCAAAATGTCAAATTTAAAAAAAAGTCAGATACTTGGGAATCTGGCTGAATAATAAAAATACAGATCTGTTTGTGAACAATTATACAATTAAATAGAAGGAAATTTAAAAAGAATTAATGAAATGGAGTAAATTGCAGCTATCTTTTTCAGGACTAACAGAGGCTGTCAAGATTATGATCCTACCTAAGATGAATTTTCTATTTCAGTGCATTCCGGTATTAAACAATGATATACCCCTCAAAGAATGGCAAGCAGACATTAAAAAATGTATTTGGAATAACAAAAGCCACGTGTAAATTGCAAGACTATGACATGCCAAAAGGAAGGAGGAGGAGGTGGTGTACCTGATCTGAATCTATATTATCAAGCAAACGTACTAGCAGACTGGATAACACTTGATACTGCTAAATTTAGAGGGATTTAATAACAGTTTCGGATGGCACGCATACCTTTGGTATGGCAAGGCATCAGTTCATGGTGAATTTAGACACCATGTGATAAAAAAGATCCCTTTTACAAGTCTGGGAAAAAATTAGGAAGAAATTCTACACAAAAAATCCCTTATGGATTTCCCCACAAGAGGCTTTTGTGGGAAGATGGAAAACTATTGACATGTGGCTTACCTACAAAGACATTTTATCTAAATCAGGAATTAACAAATATGAAATGAAATCAGTTGAGGAATTAATGCAATTGGACCCTAAAATACATTGGTTGTTCTACACACAACTAAAGGAAAGATTTAAAATGGACCAAAGGATAAGAGGAATTTGGAGAAGATATGGTAGACTATTACAAAATATGGTTCAGTCTAGAAACGAAGAGAGTAACAAAACTATATATAGACTTTGGAGGAATTATGAACAAGGAGAAGACTTGATAACAGATATGATGATCAAATGGGCATCAGACTGTGATCAAAATATAGATTTGGAAAGTTGGAAATATGCTAGAAGCAAAAGTCAAACATTTACCAAATCTCAAAATCTAAAATTAAATTTGTGGGAAAAAGAATAGAGATGGCATTTGACACCCAATAAAATTGCAAAGATTTATAAAACAGCTTCAACTGTTTGTTGGAAATGCCACTCAGCTATAGGCTTCTGATTTCATGTTTGGTGGCATTGCCCAAAACTTAAAAGATACTAGAAGCAGATACATAATGTCTTTTGAAAAGATGCTACAGGTTAAATCTGAAATGAGACCTCAAATTTATCTATTGGATATGTTGAACAAAATCCCAACCCAGATAGAAAAAAAATATTGGCGTATTATCAGGAAACTCTAAGATAGTGTTTCGATCCCAAGATGACTGTTCTCAGAAAGGTATGACTTTTTAAAAGTTCTTCTGTTTTTCTTTTATTCTTTATTGTGTAAAATAATGAGATGATAGATCGATAAGGGCCTGTTATTGTAGTGTCGTGGGAAGTCAAAGTTAAGAGAAGATTCTGTTTGGGGTTATTGTGTATATGCCACCTATTGTATATAACTGAAGATGATGTTGTTTTATGTTATAAAATAAAAAAGATTAAAACTTCCGGGGGGAGGGGGAGACAGGGGATGCACAAGAAAGCAAAAGACATGGGTTTTCCAAGACAGCTATTCATCTCAAAAATCATGATTCAAATGGAGATGTAAAACAAGAGAAGAACAGAATAAAGCTACAGCTGCCTCAAAATATTTAATAGTTAAATAGTTTAACTATTTAATAGCTAATACTTCAATATTTTGATGCAGTTATAGCGGTAGTCTGCACTTCTAGCTAATGGAATATAATTAAATCTGTAGTGGTAGAATAACATGTTTTGTTCTACAGTATTAACTGTTTTTCTTTTTCCTTTTCATTACTGTTTATGGGGGAGTCAGAGTTCATTTGTAAAGGTATCTACATTAAAGAAATACAGTCGCCCCTTCCAATCCGTGGGGGATCTATTCCGGATCCCCCCCCCCGCGCGAATCGGAAAAACTGCAAATATTGGAGCCCCGTTGTTTTTAACGGCTGCGTGGCCCTGCGTGCCACCCAGCGGGTGTGGTGCAGACACGGGCATCATTTTGTTCCTCCTGGCTTCCTGTCCATGGGAATTCCAAACCGTGAATGGGAAGTCAGCAAATCCAGAGTGACAACTGTATGTAATGCAGTTTGACACCACTTTAACTGCCCTGGCTCCATCCTACAGAGTCCTGGGATTTGTAGTCTTGTGAATCACAGCGCTCACGCAGAGAAGTCCTTGCAAAACTACAAATTCCAGGATTCTATAGGATCCTACAAAAATTAAAAGTGATGTCAAGCTGCATTATTTCTACAGTGTAGATGCACCTTGTGTCTATGTTCAATATTTGGTTAGGTTCTTCTTCTGTAATAGGTTAGTGTTTTAAAGAGTGTGTCAGTGATGATAGATGTATTAGAGTGTTTTAGAGATGATTGGTTAGTATTTCAGAGAGTTTAGTTTAATAGAGAATCGTTTAGTTTAATTATAGTTAAATATATATGATATGTGTCAATGCCTTTTTCTTTTACCTTTTTTTCTTTTGCTTTCCCCCCTTTTATTCTGCTTTTCTTGCATCATGTTTAGTTTGTTATGCAATAGTTTGTATGTGTTAAAACCTCTATATGTGTGTGTATGTGTGTGTGTGAAAAAAGGGAAAAAATATTAAAACAGTGTCTCATGGTAGTGATGGTATGAAAAATCAGAATGATGTAGTCTTTCCTCTTCCCCCTGTACCCTGCTTGCTAGCAATTTATTTTGATCAGACGATTGGGATAAACTCTGGATTTGCTCTATGTTATCTTGTAAAACAGCCACAGTAAGAGTGATTATGACAGTAAGAGCTATTTGACAGCAGAACATGCTGCCTTGCAGTATAGTAGAGTCTCCTTTGGAGGTCTTTAAACAGAGGCCAGATGGCCATCTGTTGAGAGTGATTTAATAGTGCATTCCTGCATGGCAGGGGGTTGGACTAGATCGTCCTTGTGTTCCCTTCAGCTCTAGTAGTGCAACTGCAGCTGCCTCCAAAATCCCTTACTGAGCATGCATGAACAACAAACCAGAGAGAAAGGGGGAAAACAGATAAGCCTGCCTCACTAACTACGCACAGCATGTTACATACAAAGCAAAACAAAACAGATCTTTATGTTTGGCTACCAAAATGAAAATCAGAAGAAAAGTGAAAAGTCATCCTTGGGTGTTGGAAGAAGCCTTTCAGCACTCTCTAGAAAGCTAAAAATGTTTTTGTTTACTTGTGCAAGGCTTACCAGACCTAATTGCTTTCTTTCTTATGCCCGTGTTGTTAGTTCTGAATAAAACATTGAAGCACTCTTGAAGTGCACAACACTAAAGAATGGAATACAAGGCATGATGGTGTCTGATATGGACTGACTAAAGAGTCTTTTGTCCTGTTAAAATTCCACTTTATAGCTCCATGTGCTAAA